ATCGTATTGAAAGTTTTTTTCTCAAATGACAAAGATTCAATATCATGCATCAGGTTTTAAAGCTTAATATATCACTTACATATGAATATTCGTGTCTTCTGAACAGAATTTGATCCAGAGGAATGTCCAGCAGACTGTTCACGGCCTTGTGAAAATGTGTGCCCTGCTAATGCAATATCATTCCTTGGGAAATCTTCGGGAATTTCATGTAATACTGAAGCAACAAGTGTACTAAAGGTTTTAACTTGCTTTTACAAACTTCTTCAGAACACACGGCTATGTTTTTAAAAGTTGTAATGTTTAATTGGCTATAACCTGCAGGATGGAGTCATAACAGAACGCTGCTATGGCTGTGGTCGCTGTCTTCCAGTTTGCCCCTATGATAAAATAAGTGGGATTTTTCCCTGTTCCATCTATGACTATATGTTCTTAACTCTGAACTATTTAGTTCAATTGTGTTTAGTTACTATCTCAATGATGTTATTTGATTTTCAACTGTATGTACCTTTTATACTGATGTAGGTGAGGTAACATATGTAAGAGATGCTGTTACAACTGCTGATCTAATCCAGAGAGATGACATTGATGCTATGGAGATACATACAAGTGGAAGGTAATATACAAATTGATAATATCAAATAGCACAATGATCTTTCTAGAATTTTATCAAGCACTTCAAGTAAAAAAGGTATAATTCTCAATTCACGAAATGCCTTCACCAAGCCTTCTGGGCTTTCTTTCTCTTTTCATGATTGAGATACACTATTTCTTTGACGTTTTTGTTTGAATCCATTTCCTTATGTGACCTTTGATCCTTCTATAGACAGAGTAATTTGTTCAAACAACTCTGGAGTGCTCTGGGAGATTCAGTAGGGTATTTGAAGCTTGTAGCTGTAAGGGGTGCCTCCAATCTGTTCTAATATTTTCAAAAAATACTTAGCCTCTTGGCTATTGGGACTTTGAATCGCCAATTTACTATTGAAATAATCCAGGTTAGCTTACCTAATGGTGGTGACTCAACAATATCCTCCATGAACTATATGTTCTCCATCATGAAACCCAATCTTCAAAGCTTCAACTTATGGCAGGTGTACCTTTGAACATTCTCAAGTTTTTATGAGCCAAATTTTCTTCCATATTTCTGTTAACAAGTTCTCCTTTGTTTTTCAAAAACTCAAGTTAGATGGTCGTCCTATGAGTGGAGATATTGGGAGAGGAGCAACAAAAGAATCAATTGCCTTTGCTGTTCAACTGGCTAAGGCAAAAGAAAGGCCTCCTGGTTTGTACTCATAACTCATTTTATGGTCCTTTGAAAACCTTCAAGGCTTACATCCATTCTAGATTCTGTTAATGTTAGTGACACTTAACATGGTAGGTTTTCTTCAACTTGCCGGTGGAACCAATGCTCACACAATTGAAGGGTTGAAAAAAGAGGGACTCTTTCAAACAACTATTAATGGTAGTGTCCCTATTTTGTTAGTTTGTATCTCTTTTTCTCCACTTCATTATAACTATACCTTGCTTTTGGTTAACTTTTCCTAGAATATTTGCATGATGATGAATCAGCAATAAACTCATCTGGTTCACCACATGCTTTGATTGGTGGTATAGCATACGGTGGCTACGCACGGAAGGTGAATTATTTATTTATGTAGTTGTTAGATGTACATAGATGTTAGTTGCATCCCTGTGCATTAAGCAACACTGCTAGCAGATTTTTTATTACCCCTACCTAATAACAATATAAGAATTTGTTGGCTTATAGTGATATAACTCTGGCATACCACTTTGTATACCACTTTGTCAAGTCTTACAATGTACATTTTGGTCAGATTGTTGGTAGAGTGTTGAGATCAATGCAATCAGAACATGGTGGAGCTGCTTCAATTGAGGATCATTCTGAGTATCTCTTGATGGCTCTTAAGGAAGCACTTGCTTTGGTGGGACCTGTTAAATGTCTATGATAGCTGTATTTGAAAGTGTAGCGTATACCATAGAAGAATAGAAACTTGTTAAAAAGTAATAAATCAAATCAATTTTAATTTACATTTCTAATCATAGCTTCTCTAAAACTATTTATTTCATAATTTCTTTCAGTCAATTAGTAGCACTAATTGCATATTTATGTATGTATATGTAATCACTCTCCTACTATGAATTACATTGAACTTCTAACAAATAAACATCTTGATTCATTCACTGCTATGTATCACATTTTTTACTTTTAAGGTTGTTAGAGGGAGGATATGTATTATACCCAGATAGAATGTAAACTATTTTACACTGGCTATTTAACTAATATAAAAAGGATAAATTGGTATAAAAAGTCATTT